ATCCGCCTTGGAAGTGTCGAAGATGACTTCTCCATCAAACTCCATGGCCTTGGCAATGGCCAATGCCACATCCTTGATACTGACTTCAGCCTCTTCGTCGACTGACAAGGTGATGGGAGCAGGATCATGGTACTCTCTCATGACCCACACTGTGAGTTCAGCGAGGTCCTTGAATGATAAAATTATTAATAAATAATAGTAGCAAGAGTGAGAAACAAAACGCCACCAAAAAGGGGAGCAAACACCAGAAAATTATTGACCTACCCTGTTGTAGATGAATTGACGCAATGGTGTTCCTGATCCCCAAATAGTGAAGGCTGTCTTGTCGCGCTTGGCAATAAAGCACTTGTGGATCAATCCTGGAATAACATGACCAGACTGAATATTGAAGTTGTCATGGGGTCCATAAATATTGGTGGGGATAATGGAAGTGAAATTGCATCCATATTCCTCGGCATACGCTCTGTTCATGGTATCAATGAGGCGCTTTGCGTAGGCATATCCCTCGTTACTGGAATGGGGAGGACCGTCGTGAAGCATAGTCTCGTCAATGGGATAGGTGGTTTTATCCGGGAAGATGCAGGTACTGAGAAAGGACACCAGTTTCTTAACCTTGTAGATTCGGCAACATTCCATAATGTTGTCATTGATCAAGATATTTTCCCGAAAGAACTCTACCTTTTCATTCATATTGGCAAACAAACCACCTACTTTGGCGGCCAAGTGAATGACATGGGTAGGCTTCTTCTCCTTGAAAATCTTCTCGGTATCATCGCGCTTGCGCAAATCTCCGTCCTTGGAGCTCAAGTAGATCCATTCCTCCTTCTCCTTGGCACCAGTCTCCACAATGTAGTCCCTGATGGCTGCCCCCACCAGACCAGACCCACCAGTCACCATCACCACTATCTTGCCATCGTCTTCGCTCATGGTTGCTGTTTGTTGCTCCTGGTGTTACTAAACTTTTTTGGAGATTATTATGACTTGATCCCAATTGATTGACCTTGAGGTCATTGGAGGATCCGCGGATCTATCCGTTATCACATTCAGTAGCGCTTTTTGCGAGAAAAGTGGTCTTGAAAGGATCTCTGGTGGCTCGGGACCGCGCTTCGTTGGACTTCTTCGCGAAACGCGCACCTGCTCGAAGCTTCCTGACTAGCTAAGCCGTGACTACCGTATTCACACCAACAAAGACTACATGTAACACGGTTTGTATTTTCCATAATTTTGCCATTTTCGACATCCTTGCTCAATCCTTGCAACAGCCATATTACTCTCGTTGACCCCAACACTCACAGTACCATGTCATCTGGCCACCATTCATCGCACCCTTCTCACTCCTCCTCCCGAGGCTCTTCTTCATCGAGGTCATCATCACACGGCCGTTCTCATCATCCCTCGTCTTCCTATTACCATCACAGCGGCAGCAGTGGTAGCCACCGTAGTAGCAGCGGAAGCAGTCGGTATCATTCGTCGTCCTCCCATCATCACTACCATGAAGAAGATCGACTAGGTCGCTCCTGGAGACAGCTAGCGTCTTCAGTGGTAATGTCCTTTCAAAAAGCCGAAAAGGCGGCCGCGCAAAAGGTTCAACCGCCTCCTCGTGAAGTCCTCAAAGAACTCGATGATGCTGTCGTCCATTTTTTAAGGTAAGGCCTTGAAGGTCGAGAGCGGTACATACTGTACTTTGAGTGCTTCTGCATCTGAACAATTCTCCACGTTTTAAGAAACCGTGTGGAATGGACCCGACAAATCTCGCATATCGAAGCCAAATTGCAAGGAAAGCAACAGGAAATGGAAACACTGGACTGTTACATGAAAACACAGCCGAGGTTTGGCAGAAAGCGGAAACGAGAAGAGGACCACGCCGCGTTGGATTCAGCGGATGCTGCTGCTCTTGCCGCTGTGGATGCCACTGCTGCTGCTGCGAATTTTGCTGAAAAGGAGGAGCCAAACATCACAGTGATCGAATGAATATCATACATAGCCACGAGCTGGGCAGTCACCTGACAATCACCAACTGCAAACTATCGATCGAGATGGGTGTAGCCTACCGTACTAGCTAGATTGCTTATTGGAAAAATCGTACAGTAGCAAGTGGATCAATTAGTAGCGCCCACCCAGTGGCATCTAACTACATGTACATGAAGCCAGCAATGAAAGTGGAATTGGCTCCAGCAACAGGTCTATTTTTAAGAATTGCTGCTGTTGTCGGGTGGGTCATTGCAATGTGAAACAAACAGCATGATTAGAAGTACCGGACCGGCACCGGTACATCCTTGATGGTCCACTTCTTTCCCAACTCTGGCTTCATCCATCCGGCAGAGAGCATTCCATCACGTGATATGATCTTGGTTTGGTGGCTTCAGCACATAGCCCATGCAATCCAAATCGGAGTTAGGTACTCAGTCCACAAGCATTCGGTACCGGTACCGGTACCGGTACTACATGCACCTGTAGCTACCTGTAGCTAGCTACCTGGTACTAGCAAGTGTTGTCAGATCCGACGGGTAAACCAAGGGACAACGACGATGGTCCAAGACCTGCCATACTACATGTAGATAGAAAGAAAGAAGTTTGGAAACCGCCTCCGCAAAGAGGAATCGAATCAATCATTCTTTCTGGTACCGAGGACTTTTTTCGGGCTCGTTCCAACGCGGAGATCAGCCCGACATGCAGGATCGGATGGGGATTCCGGGGAGTGGGTGAGCACTGCGGGGGTACCAGGTATTCTTCCTGCTATGCTACAGTCAGGTTACGCTAATTCCATTCAATACCGTTAGATTCCATAGTCTCCCCGCATCCAATAGCACAGCTCCATATAGTTGACTAGCAATACGATCCTAGACTACTAGACTACCGGTAATAGATAGCTCAAATGCTCACCTCCAGGAACTTGCTTCGGATGAGTTACTCGAAACTGCTTCACCAACTCACCCCACACTGAGCCAGACCTGCAAAGCTGCATGTAGACCGAATTCAATACCGCACAGGCCGTACGGTGCACGATGGCCAAGCAGGTTGAGCCTCTCTGGTGACCTCCAAAAGATCTCATAAATTAATTTCTAAAGCTTGGCAAAGAAGCCGAGCTTTCTTTGTTGGAAGAAAAAACTTGGAAACATCATCATTATCTTACGATGGGTGCCGTCGGTTGCCAACGCCAATGGTCGGAAGTTTTCCGCTTTCTTTGGAAGCCGTGGAACAGCAGTTTGAATCTGTTGACATGGGCAATCTCAATATACCTGGCCATATCTTTAACAGGGACTGCTGCTGCAGTAATTCCCTTCTATCTTGCGTTCCTTGTCATTTATGATATCATGTACTATGGGTACAGCATTTCTGTCATTGATGAGACTGAGACCCTGAGTGCTGGTTACAATGTGGGATATTTGATGGATGATGGTGGAAGTGCCACTGGAGATGGTCTTGACTATGGCTTTAACTTCTATGATGGCAATTTCAAGAAGGACCGGCGCCAAGCACAGCTTGACAAATTCCAGTATTGTTTTGACAAGCTTGACCTTGCGTCTGGAATGACTTTGATTGATTTTGGCTGTGGCTGTGGTGATTGGCTCAACTATGTCCGAAGCCGTGGTGTGATTGGCATTGGTGTCAATATCACACCAGCTCAGGTCAAAGTTTGCCATGAACGTGGACTCAATGTACTACTAACTGACTGGAAAAAGATTGAGGGAAATCCAGAATTTGAAAAACAGCTGTATGGAAAGGCTGATGCAGTGACCTGCTGGGACACGGTGTGTATACTTACTGCATGACAATCTGCTTGTTTGGGCTACTTTTGTGACACAAAACTCATGTCATTTTGTCGCTTCATCAATCTCTTCCTCTCTTGCCCGTCTTTCTAAATCATGATTCATCATTCAGATTGAGCATTATGTTCCTGCCAAGTATTCCCAGAATCAGACGATGCAGGATGCTATTTATACCCAACTCTTTCGTCTGATTCAAAAGTGTCTCCGTCCTGACAGCAAGGTTGGTCGAGCCTGGACATCCTGTTTGCATTATGCCCCCACCAAGCCAAGCTGGAAGCGCAGCTTCAATGACTATTTGTTGGACAAGTTTCATTCTGGATGTTACCCTGATTATACCAATCGACAATTGACTCAGAATGCAGAACGTGCCAGCATGAAGCAAATTTTGGAGAGGAACTTGACGGAGGATTACTACATGACATCTGTCTTGTCTCCAGAGCACTTTGGGCGTCACAAAATGAAGTTGACATTCTATCGTTTTGTGGTGGTGTCTCTGTGGATTGTGTTTGATCCCAACTGGATCCAACGTTACATGTGGTTCAACCAAGAAGCTTGGATGGATCAATTTGATCCAGAAAAATTGGAAGACTCACCCATGCAGCTTTTGTGGATCATGTGGGAGAGGTGCTAAAGAGGGAGAAATGAAATTGGAAGTAATGGTGGTGGTGACAAACATGTTTGAAGAAGAAAACAAGAAGTACCGGTAGGAATGAAGTTTAGTGAATGAGTGTGAATCAAAAGTGAAAGTTAGTGGGATCATTGCTTGGTTTGTTCGTGTTTGATGACAAGCTATAGCTAGAAGGGAAACTGGTCATCATTCTTGTATCATACGATTCTTGTATCACACGACTTTAGCAAAAAGTGACAGAACTAAGTAAGTTTAATTAATCACAAGCTGCCGAATGGCTAAAACGCAGGCTTTGACTCTGCGTACGGTAACTTTTCCATTTTGTTTGACTTTTTCATCCCCCAAGGGAAACATCAGTGCTAGTAGGGCTGGTACTCTGGTATTGTGGTCCGGTGGTACCGGTACTACTTGTTGTATGCGTGGACAGGCTCCGAGATTTGTAGCCAAAACTGTACAGCGTGTTGTGGCTTAGAGCTCTGCTGGGTTATTTATGCGAACCATCACAGTGTTTTCAGGAAGACTCTAGAAGATTCTTTGACGTGGCGTCCAATACGGAAGTGAGAATTGTGTGCGGAAGCAAAATCGCAAGATGCCAAGAGTTCTGAGACGCGAAAGCAGAACAAGTTCGAGCAGTTGCAGTACTGGGGTAGCGTAGATCTCTAGATGATGGTGATGGAAAGCTTTCGTCGTCTCCCTTATAAATTCTGCTTGACATCCATCCATCAGTCAGGACGTCAGGAACAGCAACATCTGCTGGACCAGCAGCAACAACACCATGGGAATCTGCAGCTTTCAAAGGGCGGTGCTCGTCTTTTTCCTCTCCAGCAATGCGGTTCACGCATTTGCTCCCTCTGGTCGTCACAACCATCATCCTGCCCGTGCAGGGGTAGCAGGAAAACTGCTTGACAGTTCTTTCGAGACGAAACTACGAATGCAACCAAACTACGAGACTTCTTCTTCTGATGACTACCAATCAGGTGCACCAATGTCTCTATCATCGACCTTTCGACAGCAACGGAGAGACTCACAGCAACCACTGCGAGCCGTGGCCGTGGCAGAAGATCTGGAGGGACAACAACGAGGAGAAGAAGGAGAAAACCTACTCTCTACAGATGGTTTGGGGCAAGTTTTGAGTGGAGCTTCCTTGGTCACTGGTTCCACCGTGGGAGCAGGAATGCTGATTCTACCCTCACTGGCAGCTGGCCCCGGCTTTGCCATTTCTACCGCTATGTTCTTGGCCATTTACGCTCTGGTGGTGACATCTGGCCTGGTGATTGCTGATGTGGCCATTAATCAACATGAAAGTGGTTATGAAGTACCAAGCTCTTTTCAAGAGTTTGCACAAGCCAACTTGGGAGATAATGCCTGGATGGCCAAGGGAGTCTCTGCCATTCCTGTCGCAGTCAATTCACTGGTGCTGGTATTTGCCATTAGCAAAGCGGGAGACTTACTGGCATCTCTATTCCAGCAACAATCCATCCTGGTCGATCCCACCATGGCTTCCTTGGGATTCATGGCACTCCTTGGAACTTGCTTGGGGACACTGACTGGGAAACAGCTCTCGGCGGTCACGTCCGTCTGCGTCACAACACTTCTGGTGGCATTTGGAGGAATCCTGTTGCCAGGGCTAGCCAATGTACAGGATCCCATGGCAACTCTCATGGCCCCGGGAACTGCTGGAGACGAATGGATGTCCTCGGTTGCCACGGCGGCTCCCGTTGTGTTGACAGCATTGCAGTTTCAGAATGTTGTCCCATCCCTGACCAAAATTCTCGACTACGATCGATCCAAAACAGTGGCTGCCATTGCACTGGGGTCCTTTCTACCATTGGCCATGTATGTCGCATGGTGCTTTGCCGTGTTGGGAGGAGGCGACCATGGAGGAGTGGCGGGACCACTCATGACAGTATTCGCCGGCGTGACCCTCTTGGGATCTTCGATTGGAGCATCCATGAGTGTCACGGAAGAAGTGGAAACGTTTGTGGCGGCCGGAGATGAAACCACCAAAAAGAGCAAGGAGTCGGTCTTTTCTCCTCTCGCAGTGCTCTTGTCCCTGGCATTTCCACTGGCCGGTGTCTATGCCTTTTCCAATGGCAATGATGCGAGTGCCGCACTGGGTGTGGCTGGAGCGTTTGGGTCGCCACTCTTGTATGGGATTCTCCCAGCTATGATGACATACAATCAAAGACAACAGGTGGCGGATGCCAAGTCGCTTGTCCCTGGTGGGCTAGCCAGCGTTGGAGCTCTAGGTGCTGCAGCAGCCATCTATGTCGGAGAAGGACTTGCAACGCACGTTACGGATCTTCTGGCTGTGTCTTGTTGACGAATTGTGTTCCACAGTATGTGGTGAGCTCAATGGAGAAAATCTTGCAAGCTAGCTAGTACATTTGTAGAAAAAAGCACACACTAATAGTACAATAGATCATACAATATTATCATCAATCCCTTGTGCTGTGAAACTCTAACGGTAGCACATCAAAATCCAACCGCTTATTCCTCTGACCCGGGGTACTAGTACCGGTAGCCCCACGCCCATCAACAGAAACCCTTGGAAGTCGAGCTCTCGCAACAGGTTTCCTCAGGGAAAGTGCAACTGCCAAGCAATCCCCCTGTTTGCCACCCTTGTGAAGCTTTTGACGTTGGAACTCATCCGTGTGAACGGAATCCCCTACACCGTCCAATTCAGTCAGTTGTTGCCAGTAGAAGAAGCTCCTTCAATTCCCGTACTTCTCTTTGAACATCATTCGAGCGTTCAAACGACATGTCTCTGATCCGGGAAAGCTCTTGTCGCATTTTCGACATCTGTGCCGCGTAGTGTTCTGCAGGGGTCGATGATTGCTTTCTTCCGCTTCGGAAAGGACGGTGCTGGGCATACGTTGACAAAAAGGATGGCCGGAAAAGGAAGCGTCGGATTTGAGGAGGCCAAAGCACACCCAAAGTCAACAGCCCCAACATCAGCCACAGCGGAATCATCACGGCAGTGATCAACCAATACAATGCTTTCACTGGGGCGGGCTTGCTGGCAAAGCAGGCATACCAATATGTACCCTTGACGGCGTTACGGCCTAACAGGATGTGGGAACAAATGTCCCACAAGGATTCGAGAGCAGTTGCCGATCTCCCCGTTTTGGCAAAGGTAGTTGAATAGCCAGGGCGACTTGCAGAGATGACAAACGTCAGCTTGGGTTCCCAAAAGCTCCTCAGAGCCAAACTATCAATGTCCCATTGAGACCCCACCAGGACAACCATGGATAGCACGCTCAGGATGACAAGGAAAGCTGCAACAAGAAACATGACGGCAAGGAACCCAATCCCTTGTGGTAATCTTGACTGGCCATCATCAATATACACCACAGGTTCTCCGATGACAAGGTAGTATAAGAACACGTAACTCTCTCGTACGTCGCAGAAACCCCAGTCCCCCGTACCCCCATCGAGTTTGCAATCCATTTGCGCCATCGTATATACCATTTGGGCAAAGCAAAGTGAGAGCACCAAAGCTACAAGCAGTGGCCAAAACATTAAGCTCGCAATCTGAACGTGGCAATAAGCTTGTAAGAAGCGAGAAGTAGACAGGAGGGAGACTGTTTGGGCATCACTCCGTGACTTACCCTTTGGACAGCAGCAGAGAACAGAGCTGCGCCATAAAACCAACTGGAGAGAAAGCCGATGAAACTGAACCAGAGCGTTCCCGTCGCCACCGCTGCGGTTTTCAACACCGCCTCGTCGGAGAAAGATCCATAGTAGAGCATTGTCGTTGTCGATGATACCGAAACAATGGCGACAAGGTCCATCCATCGCCACAGATTGAAGACGCACTGGTTCAGGAAATCAGACATAGAGATGCACACCGACCAGAACACGAGCTGGTACAGGAACAATCCAAAAGCGCATAAAAGCACAGCCAAGGTTGTCCAGAATGGTATCTGTGCCTCTGGAATGTTTATAAAATAGTGGACTTGAAGACGAAACGCCATAATGAGGGCAAAAAGCAATGCTGCATAAAGGAGGATCAGAGCACACGTTTTTCGGCTTGCAAGCTCTTCTACCACCAACTCTTGAACGAAGGAAGCCATGCAAGCTTGCCTTCGAAACCAGGGTGGTAGCACGCGAAGTCTCCATAAGAAATCATCGGGCTGCAGGTGCTTCCGAGCGCCTGGTTTTGTTGATGCGATGATTGTGCCTTGGAAAAACATAACGAAAGACGAGGCATGATCTTCGAATGTTTCGTCGGAAACTTTGAAGTGCGAGTTTTCCGCATCGATCTTTCCAGCTGTGTCCGTAAGAAGGTCGAAGGGAAGCTTGTTGGCGTCGTCTCGTGCTTGTGCGACGGTGTCGGACAGCAAAAGTGCAATAGCACTGGGATTCAGATTATCTCGCCGATAGTTTCGAAGCAACACGTGAAGCGGGGTTCTTCCCCGAGAGTCTTGCACATTCACCGCACCAGGGTAAGCTTCGTGGACCGATGACAGCATCTGAAAGTCTCCTGGCATCTCCTCGGCGATGACATGTAGTGGAAGCTGTTGACGTAGCTTGCAAGGAATCATTCCGGGGTTTATAATGTATCTATCGGAGCTCAAACTGTAAAGCGGCATCTCCCGGGCCCATGTTGGTAGATTTTTGTATCCCGATGTTCTCTTCCCAAGCAGCAATTCGATCACCTCAATCGATGGGAATCTGTTGCTCGTCAATAACGCCGCGAGAAGAGGAGTGTGACCTTGAAAGTCTCGCGCAACCAACCCTTCAGGGTAAAAAGCAATGAATAGTCTGCAGAGCTCCAGGAACCGCGGAGCCAAGCTGCTGTCTGAGGTAGGTTCTTCCCTGTCGGGGTCACTCTCATCCTCATCACTGTATCCTCCCTCGGAAAAGAAGCGCTGGTTATGACTTTCCGCTAAACCGCGCCGCACAATTATATGGATCGGTAGCTGTCTGTTTATTGGTGTAAACTGAGCTGCTGGATTGGTGGCCGGGGAATCTAGTACGGCTGAAGCCAAGATGTCGAGCTCTGCGTTTTCTTCATCGTCTAGTTGTTGCAATTGTGTGCGGTTTCTTATCCTCCGTTGCTTCCTTTTCCATTGGCACAGTCGTCGGAACGCATTTTGGACGTCGTCTGGGTATGCTTGAAAGGCTTGCTCGTGCATCTCGTCTAATGTCAGTCTGGTAGTGGGAGTTGGTTGGGGGAGTACTCTGTCTAGCTCATTCACTGGAAGCGATAGATGCTGTTCCCGTCGCAGCAGTATCCTCGGGAGTTTCGTGGTTTCCACATCGAACGTCTCCTTCACCCCCAGTAGTACTCGACAATGCTCGAGGGTCACATCCACTCCAAAGTTTTTGAGTAGAAGATGAAGTGGAGTCCATCCTTGGAAATCCGTGTGATGTATAGATTGTGGATATTCTTGTAGCAACATTTTCATGGTTTCAATATCAGCTGAAGATGCGGCGACCAGATGTAGGGGCAGCCTTCCCCCTCCGTCTATTCTTCTTGCTGCTTCCGGATATACATACAACAAAGACCGTGTCATAAAAGGAGGAGGGGGCGCTGTGCCTAGGCAAGCGATATGCAAAGGAGTCCAACCTGCAGCGTCCCGTACGGAAGCCAGCTGAGGTTGTCCGGATAGCACATGCAAAGCATTCCTCCAGGCAATATCATCCTGGCACGATGATTCGCCACACAAATCATGCAGTGTCAAGTCTTGATCCTCCGAGTTGAATGTCTGTGTGTCTTCTGCCGTAGTGGACTCTGATGCTATTGTTGAAGCAGTTTTGTCATGCTTGGCTTGTCTGCTGTAGTGACTGCCGCTGTCTCCTCTACTTCTTCGACTGGGTTTGTTGAAGTTTTGGATGAGCTTTTCTGCCTCCCTTCGAGCAGTTTCGCTGGGAACCAAGCTACTACTGCTACTCGGAGCCTCTGAGGGTGTCAGAGTCGAAGCAGTGCCAAAATCTGCTGATGACGACCTAGCCGTCGTTGCCATCATTTCAGTGAAGAATCTCTTTGTGGACGATGGCCTAAACGCTTGTCGTTGTATTTGGAAAGGGTCGAATGGCTCGAATGGCTCGAATGACTCTAATGGTTCGGGTGGAACATGTGTCCTTGACACTTGATGATCTTCCGTTGCCTGCAATGCATTTTCATCAGGGTGGTAGTCCGGTTGTCCACTCGAAACTGCTTCTTGATGTTGTTCGATTTCTTGGTTCTCTGGTTGGGGCCTCATTTGTGTCTTGCTGTCGTCACTGTTCGATTCGGTACTCTTCACGCCGGGGTCCACGGGTGGATGCGTTGGCTGTGTAAAGCTAAATGACATACTTCCTGCTTCGAGCGAAGGATGTTCCTGTATGGCTGAGAGAGTCGTCGCTTCGCCGTATCTGTCGTCGCCAGTAGCCGTCGTGAAAGAGTCTTGCTGTTGCAGCATTTCCTCCAAACTGTCTACTTCTGATACTGAATTCTTGTTGCTGCCGCTGAACTCATCAAAAGGGCGATCCATGTGTGCATCCTCGGGGTGGAAGAAACTGCTGGTGCTAGTTGTGTGGCTGACGGTGGGGGTAGCGTGACCGTCGTTGGATTGAGCGTCGAGTCCCTTTTTGTGCGATATGTAGTAGTCCAGGACTCGAGCATTGGGGATAAGTAGCTTGGTACGTCCTGACTGCTTCGATGATACCGGTAGCTCATTAGATGGTATCTGGGCGGTCCTGCGCCCATGCGGATGTTGTTGTTGTTGGTGGCATATTGGCGGCCGCGGAGGAACTCCAGTCCAGAGATGCTTTTCCATCAGGTAGTGCTGGGTGGCAGCAACTCTTTCAGGTACTTCGTCACGCTGTGAGTGTTGTTGCAAATAGGTCATACCGGTATCGTCATCGTGGCGCGGTTGGTGATACAGCAAAAAGGTCTGCGGCTGCTGCGGATCGTACTCCCGGCGTTCATTGACATACGGCACCGTGGGCCGATTCCGATGGTCCTGATCAGCTTCATTCGAACAATCACTGACTGCAGCAGTATTCTGACTGGCGGATGCGGTGTCGAACGACCGATTGAACAATGGATGTCTCGTTGCATTGACGTAGGTGCCACCATTGCTAGAGGTTGGCATTGTTTGCCTTTGGCCTTCCCTCCCACCGTCACACCACTAACAAATATGGCTTCTATCTACCGCATGTATAGTAACTCATTCGTTGCGTTTTTGTATTATGTGAAGTAACACAAGGTAGGGCCGCGGAGAGGAGGAGTTGAACGTCAAGTCTCTAAAAAGATCAGTCGCCAAATCTACCATGTGACTCGACTCCCACGGTTCTTAGGAAAATGGAGAGGCCGGCTCTCGGTTGGTTTCTCACTCGATTGAACAAAACTGACGTGAGTTTTGATGCTGGTCGTCCCCGGCCCCGTACTAGTACGATACCGCATCACCATGTCGCCGCAGCCTTCGTCATCACCTGTTGTGGCGGTGGGGTACCAGCCCCGGCCCCAACAGTGAGCCCATCTGATACCGGTCTGGTAGCTCATAGATTCATCGTTCACTCCGAGACATACCTCACAGTAGTACAGCAGGTACACCACGTAGACCAGAACCTGGATTAACTTCCGCCTGCTTGTCTCCCGGAACAAACACCTGTACCAGCTCCGGGACCTATCCTTGGATCTACCCCCGGTACGTCTCCAGGACCCACACCTGGACCAACCCCAGGACACACCCCTGGATATACCCCATCGTTTCCAAGACCCCATTCCTGGTGCCAACTCCTGGACTATCTCCTCCCAGGACCTACACCTGGCTTATCTCTAGATCCCACTCATGGTCCCCACACCCAGACCAACTCCAGGCCTGCAGGACCTACAGGTAGCCTTGGGTCTACCTGTACCCATGGTTTATCCCAAGGCCCCACTCTACTCCTGTTGGACGCCTCAGCAACCGCAAAAAAGAACCGAAGTAGACCACGAGAAAAACTTGTAATTGTAGCTTGAACCCTAAAACCATTCGGAAGAACTTTAGCGCACGATCATCCAACCGTTAGCGGAGGGCTCTAAATGATCGGAAGAAAAACGGCAAGGCCCGTGTGCTCAATTTTTTCATCGTTGCGAGAGATCATTCTTCAGTCCAAGAATAACAACTTCATGGAACCTGAACTGATGATCGAGCTGTGAAGTATTAATAGACACTGTCTATACCGATTTCCTTCCCTCCCTGTTTGTTTTGTCCCTCCCTGTCCTTTCCTTTGATGTCAAGTATCTGAGCTGAATAGTGAGCTGGAAAATGGACTATTTTCTTAGTTCCCAACCGAGCGCATCAGTGGCAGATAGCAGAAGCAACAGCAATAAGAAAGGCCATCCGTGGCAAGCAGCACTTCGGAAACTGGACGAAGAACGGGTTTTACTTGACGATGATGATGTCAGCGGTGGGAAAGAGAGATATTCGACCGAGCCGCACAGTAAAAATCCCTTCGATTCTCCTCCGCCTTCTTCATCGCAGCTCGCGACAAGCCGTCTTGTTGACCACCACAACCATAATGGTCACGGCTCTGGAAGTGATCTGCACAACAGACCAGGCCATCGCACAGAAACGCAGGCTCAAAGTCACAGTCTCGCTCACAGCCATTCAGCGAGGCCAAGTCGACGACGACCAAGGGTCTTTCCTGCTAGCAGTGGCGACAGCAACGCTCAGAGTCCTTCAGAAAGAGCTGCTGTAGGTGCTGCTACAGAAAGTATGGAGGTAGCACTACAAGACACCTCCAAAACTACAACCTCTTCATCATCCGCCACTGCCAGTGTCTCATCGCCATCATCATCAACACGGCCTCACAACAGCAATAGTAGCAACCCTAACAATTCATCCACCGATTCGGACAGCGGGATCCGGTTGGAACCGAAACTCACTCGCATCCATCAGCAGCACCATCAGCAGCACCATCATACCGGGGATATCAATACTAATACTTACCGACACCATCGAGACCAACGACACCAAGAACAACCGTCCAACCACTATAGAGGGGCTCCTGACAAAATATTGATGTCACGTACATCAAGAACATTACATTCACACAACAACCCCAACAATCCATTTGATTCTTCCAACAGCCCTTCTCACAACCGCTACAATCCTTTTGCGTCTTCCAGCAGCCCTTCTCCTAACCGCTTCAACCCCTTTGGTTCTTCCTCTTCCTTCACGCCTGCTCCCAACCCTTACAATCAATTTGGCTCTGGGCATTCCAAAAGTCCAAGGGCTAACACGAATCCATTCGAAGAAGACTTCTCAGTTCAAAGTAGTCAGCACGCAAGCGTCAATCAACACGAACATGAGCAGCACCAGGAGATTGACGATGATGATAATGATGATCAAGACGTCTACTATGATGCGGCACCTTCTTCTACTGTTTTGGATGTCTACGGCATGATGAGTGATCCTGCCGTTTCTCCTGCCCATCCGGACTCCTCCACAAAGCCTTTTGGCCATAGCCCTGACATGTACGAGCAAAGACTAAAAGCGGCATCGCCGCCACCAAGTCCGCCAACAATGCCGCCAACAATGCCCCCAACACTGGACTCCTCTACTTTTGACATCTCAACTTCCAACACAAACAGTGGCAGTCCCAGCCTAGAACAACGAGAGCGATTGGGATTGCATATGCTGTGTGCTGAAGCCACTAGCCAAGATGATATTGCTTGGAGAAATGCTCTCTACCTGCTGAGGGTGAAGCCAGAGTTGGCGCAAGTACTGGACAACCAAGGACGTACTGCTCTTCATGCTGCGTGTTCCGCAGTGCAACAATCCGCCCAGCAACAGCAGCAAACAGACCTGCTAGACCCAGAACAAGAAAAGCCACCAAGTCATCAACAGCCCATATCCCCCCCTGATTACTTCATAAGAGCCTTGCTGCTGGCGAATCCATCCGCTCCACAGAAAGGGGATGCAGATGGCCGACTTCCCATTCATTTAGTCGCTGACTCATCTGGGGATATCAGTACCTTGCAGCTACTGGTGGAAGCCAATCCCACTTCCATTGCAAGTAGGGATGCTATGGGATGGACACCTCTGCATCTACTCTTGATCAATACGCTCACGCCTGTCACGAAGAAACATGTACACATACTCTTGGGAATGACACTGCCTCCACCCCCGGCAGAGCATCAATCCATTCGCCAACGACGAGGAGATCATTTAGGCCTCAAAGTTGAACAATTGAATCGAATGCTCTCAAACCACAAGAACAGGCTGAAAGCACCACAACGATGGCAAGTTCCCGAAGAGATCTTGAATTCATATCCAGAGGACATTCAGGTCTGCCTGCAGCAGCTGCAGCAATGGGAGAAGAAAAGGGCACGCCGGGAAAAGCACAAGCAAGCGCTACAGGAAGAACAGAAGGATCAAGATCAGTCGCAACAAAACGGCAGTGAGGAAAATGGGGATATCACTGCGGATCAAGAGGGAAATCCCGCCGCCATGGCAACACTAGTAGATCACCAGTTGCCCCTGCACATTGTTGTCCAGCGAGGACTACTGGAACTTGTCAAACAGCGCCACAAAGAACAACCAGCTTCAATGTCTAAGGGAAGGCCACCAAGACATCGTGGGGCATCCATGCTGTCACAGTTGCCAGCAATCCAGCGTAACTTGATTGCGGTTGTCAGGGTGCTGCTATACGCTTTCCCAGAAGGTCTGGTTGCACGGGATTGCAATGGCCACACCCCACTGATGATCGCCATGACAGCGGCCACTCAGGTTGTTCCGAATCAAGAGCTCTTGGACCTACTACTCGGGAAGTGCACGGTGGGGTTTGCGTCTCTGCCGTCGTGGGTCGAGGATCTGCCATTGCCAACCCAGCTGTCGTTTGGACAAAAGAGGGGATTGTCCACACAGCAACAGCGGTACTGCAACCCAGCAATGGTTTCCACGTTTGACACATGCCAACTACCGTTACATATAGCGGCAGAGGAATGGGGGGATCAAGCTGCATTGATACTCGCTGTTTATGAATCCTATCCTGGCGCCATTCACGTTCAAGATGCCCGGGGGCGAATGCCGCTGCACGTCCTCTTGAAGAACTTTCGACGGGTGTCCCCTGACCCACGGGTTGTGGCATTGTTGTTGTCTGACCGAGTCGCACGAACCCACACGGACGAGGGAGAGTTGCCCTTTGATTTGTTGGTTGCTTGCGCTCCTTTTCTGCCAAAGGATCCCATGCGGTTTGATCTAGACATCATGTCGGACAGGAACTCGCTTCACCCTGACCCTTGCAAAGCATTTCAACCTATCTTTCAAGCATCCATCATCACGTCGTCATGGGATGCCCAACAAATGTTCACTTCAAACCAAAGTCCTCTTATACGGAGAGCCCAAGCAAACTCGTTTTTGTGGCGACTACGGTCTCTACCGCCCTGGCTGCGTAGGCAGGCCTGCAATGTTCCCTTTGTGCAAGAGATAATCGTTGAAGAGCTCTCAAGCCCCCTGAAGTGCGCCTTTGTGTTTGCACAGGGACTAGTCCTTTTGTTTCTCTTGATAGTATTCCGACGACAAATGGAACGCTTCATTGAAACCACTGGCCTCGATGGTATGCCGTCCTTGTCACAGACCAACGATACAGACGCTTCAGGGATAAATTTCTTTGACGGAACCGGGCAAGAAGTGGTCGATTCTTTTTTCTTTGATCCCTCAATACGTTACGAACCGTGGAATACTCTGGTGATATACGGGCTTAGCGCCTGTTCTATCAGCTTTCAAGCCATCTTTTGGGCACTCAGCGGTTCTCTCAATGAATTTCAGAGGTTGTGCTTGTTGAACCTTCGTCGGTGGATCGACTTGGCGACAGCGTTTATAACAGTGTTGACTTCAGCCCTGATACACGAGGGCTTCCCAGACGAAGTGATTTTCATTTTGGGAACAGTTTCAACAGGATTGCTCTGGTGCAGTGTTATTGGGTTTCTAGCCGATTGGTGGTACGGCATGGCATTCTTAGTCGGTGGTATGGCCAGGGTGAGTAGACGCTCAAGGGATAGTATCGACAACTCAAAGCAAGTTCTCACAAGATGTTGCTGCTTCAGATTGCTTCTGCCCTCGTGTGGCCTCTGCTGTTTGCGATTGTCTGCATCGTCGCCTTCTCCGAAATGATATATACGTTGCAAGTTGACTGCGCGGATGGCAGCATTGCAAGTTCGACATGCAGTCTTCGAGATGCCTATCAGCTGGTTTACTATCTGCTTCTGGGAGAACCGATTGTCGAGATTGGCAGCCCCGAGAGACTTCCTCCAGGGCTGGCTATCCTCCTAGCAACTTTCGCTCTGGTGGCACTACTCTTTGTTTTGTGTGTTGCCATGGTGATTGTCTTCATGGCCTTGAAGTGCGAACGAGAAAACGTAGCATTGGATTCCTATTGGGAGCCCAAATTGGCCTTCGTGCTAGCGTCTCAAGACACCAAGTTTGCAGCTTCGCAGCGAAGAAAAGATCCATCGGTTGCGGCACCGAGCTCGATGGATGTTCTGGAAGCAAGGCTCGAGGAACTCTGGGGAATATGCATTTGTTTGCTATGGGGTAGTCGGAAGCAACGATACTGGTATGCGATGCCTTCATCTGCGTGGAAGCGACTTGGGCTCAGGGTTGTTGCGTGTGTTACAATTCCTCTTTGGTTGCTCCTTGGCTTGGCAACACTTGGGATTCTATTGCCACCCCAAGTGCGGCAGATCGTTTTCCGACCACGGCAGGGACTCCATAGCGGTTGCAGGTCACCTGAAGCCACCAGGGATATTTTTGCTTCTCAAATCGCAGGTGTGAGGAACGAAATCGTGAAACTCAAGGACATGTCGTTTGAGCAAAACAGCGATATTCATGACGAAATACATCAGTTGAAGGTCATGATTGCCAAGGCGAGTTCTTAATGCGATGCAATGGCCCATTGATACCATGTTGGGTATCAAAATTCGTCGCAGTTCAGAGCGCTGTGAAAGAAATGGCTACGTTATCGCTGGACTACAAGACAAGTCAATTACCTATGACATTACTTCGGGGCGGCAGATTCAGTCGGTCCAAACAATATCTTGCTTATCCACCCGATCCCGAGAGGGTCCTTTTTCTTGTCTCCTTTTCCTGTTGCAGAGGTTGTTCCCAACAGAAGACCAACTCCTGCGGCGACCACCACCGTTACACTAACTAGTCCTCCAAACCAAAGTAGCTTTCTTCGTCGACTCGCATCACGTCGCTTTTGTTCTTCTAGCGGCTTTGACCTAAGTGCTTCAACTCCGATCTCGTTGAGACGGGCGCACCGAGCCAAGTGTTCTAACACGTCCTTCCGCTCATGGGTGTGCACGTCCTCTCTCGATGGGTCCCTTGCCCCCAGAGAGGTCAAGATGGGCGGCTCCAAGTCCCGCTCACGGCAATGAATCGTTGCCATGTCCAGCACGGTGGCAGGTTGCACACTGTCATCATCGTTAGTCGAATCCTCCGTTCCTTTTTGAGTGGCAACGAATACGCGGGGCAAGTCATCGTCCAGCATTGCAGCTTCAATGGCCTTGACACGAGAAAAACTCGAGTCGTCCGAAGAGTCAAAAACCAGCATCACCAAGTCACATCGTCTGTTTCCAACTTCTCCAATGTAATGTTGTATTTCCCGTTGTTCGGATCTGTTTTCTGGGTTCAGTTGCGGGAATTCAGTGAAAACAAGATGAACCACAAATTCGTCGCCGCCAATGTCTTTCGACACTTTGGCAGCAGAGATTTTGCGCCTGACTTTTACATGAGCACTGCTGGACTCAGGGTAGTTCGTGGCCCCTGGAACAGCAAGTCCACGAAATGTCGAGAATTCACTGCCATCCAAGCCGCACAAAGCTTCGACAAGATCCGTCCGCCCACTTGTCGCACTGCCAAGGACGAGAACTCGAAGCTCTCTCGAGAGAAGAGAAGAGTCTGGAGTATGAGTGATCGGCGCCACTCCCTTTTTCCGGCGACCGCTCCGTTTCGAGTGCTTTTTGCTGCGCTTCTCGACATGCCCCAGCCGAAACAACTCAGCTCTGGCAACTGCTGGCGAAACCGATGAAATGGAGTGCCAGAATCCCATCCAATCCAAAAATGAAAGCGGGGCAGCGAGGTTGTGTATGTTTTCCATGTTGACAGTTGGCACCGAGTCCGAAGAGAGGATGGTGATTCCGCTCGCCGAGAGCGATTGTGACATGGCAAGGGCAACCGACTCTCGAATACCCGCCTCTCCTCCTGTATATGATTCGGATCTAGAGCCGGCAACTGGGATTTTGGGGATTGCTCGACAATCTTTGAAGACTTCACTTGCCCGCAGTGGGTGCCAAGGCGGCAACGAGGGCTCTGGAAGAATCGAAAAGATTGCCAACAAGTCATCTCCCGAAAGCATCCCATCTTTGTCAGAGTCAAATTGATGGAACAGATCTGACAAGAATGTTCTAGCAGCAGGCGTGAGACGCCAGTTCTCATCAAGTCCTTTGTCATGTGCAGTGTTTGTGACTGAGTCTGGTATCTCCAACCGTAGATCATCGTCGTACCCAAACTTGCGCAATGCTTGCCACACAACATCTAGGCGGTTTTGGCTGATAAAGACGTCAAAAATAGCCAAGAAACCCGCAATGGTGAATTTGTTGTCTTTGACCACCGGTTCATCGGTCTGGTTATTCCTTGTCACGACCTTTTTCCAAGCTGCAAAGTCCCGATCCATGACTGGAGTCTGAAAGGCTTCACGATGGAACTGATCCAGTTCTGGATCACTCAAGAGTCCATCCTTATCAGCGTCGTACATGCGAAAGATACGAGTGAATGCTCTCTTGCAATCAGGAGTGAGAGCCACGTTGTCCAGATCGTAGAGAGGAGTGAAGGGGTAGAGCACAGCCTGCTGAGCCTTTAGGAATATTTCGTCCACTCTCAGCAAATTCTTTGCGCTACATTTGATACACTGTCGGACGAACCGGAATCTTTGCATGAGTGAGACAATTTGCTGTCTGGACCTCGCCATGGCCTGTTCATCTGTCATCCCAGCGGTACTGGAAGTCCGAAAGAGATCCATCTTGTTGCCTGCAATGATGACGGGCATCTAGTAGATTCAACGGTGCACGCCAAGAGAAGGAAAGGCAAGCAAAACAAGCACCCGAAGGATGACAATGAGGCAAGCCATGCCGAAAACCAAGTGCCAAGGATCACGGCTCTACTGCAAGACCAGATTTCATTCATTTACCTCTCCATTGTAGCACCGTTCAATCAGGGGCAACCAATGATTCTCCAGTCGGAAGAACGTTTCTACTCGATCAAGATCATATACCAAAATAATCGAGTCAACGTTGTCCACACCAGCCGAAGATACACTGGATGTGCTAGCCCCAAGATGAGGCGTCGACGCGGTGGAAATCCTGGAAGCCTCTGCTCGCTGCATAAAATTCGAGAAGGAATCCGTGGAGGATTTCGCAGCAGCCGCCGCACTGGTTCCTGTCAAAGACATGGCGGCCACCGCTGAAAGCAATGCCGAATCGGCTCCCTGTGAATCGACAATGGTTGTAATGCAAGAGGAATTGGGATCTGGAGGCAGTCGCACTCGGGTCATGATCCCTTGGACGACCTCCGAAAAATAGCGTGACACAAAGGTCGAGATGAGGGAAGATTTCCCAACGCCCTCTGATCACGGAATAGAAACACACAAGAAGGTCCAGAAAGAAGAGAGTGAGAGGGAACAAAGAGGGACTTTTTCCATCCAACTGACTGCCTGACTGAAACACCATGCTTCATTCAGAAGAAACATCAGTCCTCCTGATTGAAGATTCGATTCCCCCGGCTTCACTCTACGAGAATTAGAGAGCCTTACATTCGACTCGATCACATTCTACCATCTCAGTCAGAGCGACCCCTGGACCTGAACCTGAACCAACATCCTGGCTTCCTTCCTTCCGTACGGTACGACTCGACTCTACTACATTCCTCAAGTCAACGTTTCGACACCAAAAAGAACATTTTCTACCCCACTCAACTCAAACTCTTTTTGTCACCTACCATCTCCCAAAACTAGAACAGTAATAGATGCTCTTTGATCTGCTCGTTTCGTGGGTTCGTTAGCCGTGCGGGTAGTGGAAGTCATCTTGCCAGAACCAACTATGAGAACAACTACAAACGGAAGAACAGCATTCTCATGCTACCCTTATTGCTCTTCCCAGGGTGCGTGTCGACTGATGCCAAGAGGAAGCAGAACAAACTCGTCGTCGAATTTGGACTATGACGCACACTTCTTCTGATCGCAAAGATCCATAGCATAAAAAATCAAAAATCATTTGCTCCTTCACGGTTGCACTTTCTCAAGGTTGCAAACGCCACAACGAATTTGCTACCGGTTCCCAGCCAACCAGATAGTGTACGGCACGGTAGCATTTGGAAAGATCAAGGGTTCTGGCTGGTGTCCTGCAAGGCCTGGGTCACCTATCGTGCATATACACACAACCTCATCTCCCTTAACTCACTGTCTCAACAAAGAAAACCTCGCCATGTAGAGGGATGATCCATTACCTTGCAACGAAAGCATAATGCACTACACTAGCGCTAGCGATCTAGACTCTTCGTACGGTACTAGTACCGTACTAGTACCGGTACAAGCTTGGTGTTGTGATCTGGTGCCTACTGGTACCGACCTCAACCCATCATCGCCTCTGGCATTCGCAAGCAGCCTAAATGGCTTCCAGAGAGTTTGACACGTCAAACATGCCGTGACGTCTAACCAGTGAATCGACTAAATAAAATGTCATGAAGATCCAATCCAGGTTGAACTGTTGAAGGTTCAGGATCGCGAGCTTTGGCCTCCCATTTCTCGCTTCATACTCAACACGCACGAAAACAGAGAATCCAAAGGCAGTGGTTGTCTCACTTCGTCGAACGTCTCACTTCCTCTCTCAAAGGTTTGCATCAACTCCACATCCATCAACAATGAAGGTCGCTGTTTTCTTCTCCTTGGTCGCCTCGGCTGCTGCCTTCTCCCAGGTGAGTGATGCAAGCATAGGGTGCAAGGGATCGACGAATCTGGAAGCGTAGATCATCATTAGGATGGCAATCGAACGTCTCCGAAACGAAATCCGTGCTGACAACAAATTGCTCCTTTCTACTTGACTAATAGGACGCTTCCCGAAGGGAGGCTCTCTCGGCTGCTGCCGCAGCTGGTGCCGCCTTTGTCCCTGCTATTGCCAACGCTGCAGCAGGTGAATCTCCCCGATTCTCTGTCTTCGGTGTTTTCGGTGACGGTACCGCCTACTCTGAGGGTGCTGCCTACGGAAGTGACCAAGGCACAAAGGTGTACTCCCCATACTCCGTCTATGGAGAGGTTGGAGCTCCAGGAACTCTTTACACTCCTGATGAGCCTTCCTTCGCTGCTCGTAAGGCCGCTGTCCTTACCGAGTCCAAGAAGCGCCTTGCCAGGCTCGATGCTTACATTGCCAAGAAAAAGTGGTACGAAGTCCGCAACGAACTTGGACGTTACATGTACGAGACCCGTGGAGCCGTCAGGGGACTTGCATCCACTCCTGAACAGAAGAAGGCTGCCTCAAACTTCTTCGCTGCCATCGAGGCATGTGATGGTGCTGCCCGCCTGAAGCAGCAAGAAAAGTGCGCCTCTGCCGCCGCTGCATCCATCAGCGCCCTTGATGCCTTCACTGCTCTCCTTTAAACGGCATATTCTTGCTGGCTAATGGAAATATCATAGACGCGGAAGTGGTTTTGTAGCTCTCCTTTTTAACGAGAATATAATGTTCCAAACGGTTAGATCTGCATCAAGTCTGTGTCTCCTTGTACATGTAATAGCTGCTAAATCTACATTTATTACGTCTCTGCTCTTGTTTGTTAATCGTACACGGAGGTACAGTTCCACACCTTGGAAGGTACATAACGATACGTTGTTGTGGGGATGTCTCTGGAAGTGCAAAACTGAGTTGTAAAGAGGGAGAGGAAGTAAAGATACCGTAGCTACAAACGGATCTTTTAGTCACTGTCACTGCTGACATCACCCATTCCTTCCACGGATATCAACGTGACATTCTCAAACTTAAGATATGGCTTCTTGCTGCCGCAAAACATCAAAATGAGCACCAACTATTAGAAAACATTCATTCGAATCCTGCAAGCGCAACCGGCCTTAGCCTTAAGAATTGGGACAACGTGACTAAGCTGTGGCTATTGAATAGGTTCTCCAATGCTGTGGCTATTGAAAGGGTTACAAAACTATTCGTACAGCCGTCCCAATCAGATGAAATTTAGTCTATAGGTTGGAGAGCACTATGTGTGATTCAAATCCGAAAGAAGGTAGCTTGTCTTGCTGCACTAGCAAAACGTATTTACTCAACTCGGGCGTAGAAAATTCCCTTGGTGAGGACCTTCTTTGGGACCTTGGATCCCATATCGGTATCAGACAATTGAGTGGCAACGTAAACTCCTCCGATTTCTTGTTCGGCGGAGTTAACCTTGTTGACTTCCATCTCGATACGTCCTGATGTGATGTCAAACACCTTGTTGTTTTCGGCGAAAAGTTCATCATCACCCTCTTCTCCAGATTGAAGACCTGGAAGAGCAACAGCCATATCGTATCCGGTTGTTCCACCACGTCCCTTGGGGTCAAGGAAAAGACCTGTGCGGTAAGAAGGAGTGGAGAATTCTCCTCCCATCTGGAATCCTGGCTTGAAGGCGCTGCCGCTTCCCTTGGCAACAAGGTCCTTGACAGTGAAAAGGAATGGAACACGTTCACCTCCTGGAAGTTGGACAGTGGTGGCGGCGTAATCAATACCTTCCTTCTCGCTGAAAACAATGTTTCCTCCAGAGATATCAATGTTTCCCTCAATTCCATCAAGGGTGTAAGTCTGACGAGTCATGACCTTGGAGTTAACGAACTTCTTCTCGGTACGTCCAGCTTTTCCAATTTCTTCCTCAACAGCGAAGGCCTTTGGCTCGATGCACATGTCAACAAGCTTCTGTCCAGACTTGGGGGAGATGGAGTCCTCGCCGATAACCTCAGGGCATCTGTTGGCAAGACCAGTTCCCTTAACCTGAAGGTAGGAAAGCTCGTTAAGCTGTGCCTTGGTGATGGCTTGGGCAGGAGCGGCGGCAATGCCAACAGCAACGGCACCAGCAAGGGCGGCCTTTCCAAGGAACGCCAAGTCATCCTTCACAGCGTTCAACTCGGTGGAGCGCTGTAATCAGAGAGAAAGAGACCGATACCGATGTGAGTGCGACGTCACAGTTAACTACATTCCAAAGAGTCTACAGTATCTAACTCACGCTGACCGAGGAGGAAGGAGCGAAGGCAGAGGCCGAAGCCACAAGGGCAAGGGTGCAAGCAGATACGAACTTCATGGTATTGATGGATTGTTGATTGTGATCCTTTGGTCCAGACAAGTGAGAGCTGTTGAGATGAGACGGACCGAGACGCACGTAGAAGTTGGTGGTTCTCTTGGATACCGTGCTTTCTGCCAAGCTTTGGCAGCCGCTGCATTGTTGAAGTGCAATCAACAAGGATCGCGGTGCCACGTCATCGACAAAGAAGGGAGGAAACGCGCGTTCAAGGGAAATGAACCACTCTGCGGCTTTAAAACTGACACCGGGCAATAATATTATTACATGTATGCCCAGGGGGGCCAGAGGAAGAAAGAAAGCTGCGGATCAATGGAGGGGGGGAAGGCTAAGGCAAACTTTCCCGTGCCATACCGGTACGTAGAGTCCAGCATTGGCTCGATGTCGAGTGTCGGTGCCGTACCGGTACGCAGGTACATGTAAGTGGAGAATCAAATCGGAGCCACCCTGTAACCCATTTCGCGGCTGCGTACGACGTGCTTTGAATGATTTGGTTCACTAAGATTGGAAATGGCGTGGTCAGGTTACCCCCGTTGCTTGAGCCTGCTCCAGAGTGAGTCGCTCCAACCGTTCTCACATAGACCAGGCCAGGAAACAAAGTGGGTACACCCCGAAGGAACCTGCGAGCTAGGTGTCCCGGCTGCATCACTGACCTCTTGGATTGCAAATACTGAAATCGTTTCCGGCTACGGTACTGGTACTGTATGGATTGGAACATGTGGTTGATGAAACGAAATAGCGCATTACCATAGGCCACTATGTGCTGTTTTGCCCATCTTGGATCTATTGGAACGGTGGCTTGTACAGCCGTACAGTAGCTGGTGCCTCTTTCAGCAAAGGAACCCGGAGAGGCAGAGATGACTGATGCAGTCTTGACTGGACATCAAACCACGACCAGACGTCAGCAAGTACCGCTTACCGCTCGCAAAATCGAGGCGCCACTATCGAGTGGTCGCCACCAGCGTAGCGGAGACAACACTTGAATAAGAGATTGAAAGAGACAATCGAAGGTCTTGGAAACCTGTTGTAGGGTAGCTTGTTGTTGTAATAGATTCATTGTGTATTATTAAGACGGTGCGGAGAACAGTGGAGGCGACGAGTGAGTTTAGCGTACCAGGTAGTAGATTCGAGCCTCTTGGCCAGACGACACCCCACTGATACGGAGAGCGCCAATCCGAACGAGAATGAAGGCTTGGTTCTATGTGGTCCTGATACTCGCGTTGACGAGTAGGGCAGTGGCCTTCACTGCCAAGAAGCTGGATCCGAGGTCTTCACGCCCAGCGTTCAAGTCGACGGCATCGGTCGGAAAAGATCGAGATGATGTCTCTCAGCTGCCAGTGCATGGAAACACCCCTGCCTTTGCGTTGCCGCAGGGAACTAGCTTGGGTGTCTCCATGTCCCCGGCTGTGTACAACGGTGATGAAGACGAGGACGAAGACGAGCTCTTCAGCTACGGAACCGCGCTGGTTTCCTGTGTCATCTCGTTGGCCCTCGGTTTCACGCTGGGTTATGGAACCTAAATTGCTGAGCCATACAAAGTGGAGAATGCACCCGCGACAAAATGGAGGCTAGCTTGTCGACCGATCGAGACAACTAGGACATTGAAATTGCGGAAATAAAGCAGCTATCTACCAAGTGGCCAGAAGGACGGATAGCTTAGCTTGCTTGATGCTCTCAGTGACATGAAATATGCAGCTAGAGGAGACCAAGTGATTTGTAAATATTGAAATTGAACTACTAGGCAGAGATAAAGTCAGTGTGTTTGTTACCTTTACAGTACAGTATCGTAGTCTAGTTTCTGGCAAATGAGCAGACGTAGTTCATTTCCAACGAAAACCAGCGCAACCCAACGTATTAGATCGTCTTGGCAAGGTGCGCTGGGCTAGCTAGCAGTCTACATACAAAATCACTTGGAAGAGATAAAGAACTCGCCATTTACAATATCAGGCTTTAAACACTACAAGGCGACTACCCCCATAACAGTCATGAGGAGGCCAAAGGTAAAGCACAGGCGAGAAGCAGTTGCTGAGGATGCAGCAGTCACAGGTGCACCGACACCGACACAAGCAACCTGTCCATAGTACTTTGCCTCAGGACACGCTTCGCATCCAGAGCTCCTAGAACTGTATCGCCCATCAAAGCTTGATGTCCCCGGCGCACACAAAAGTCCATCACAGCCAAACTTGCCAACATCCCCGTTGTTCCAATTCGCCTTGTTGCAAAGCCCGTTCGGTATTTCTCCAATCATATTGCCTCGTAGATACAAAGACAGGTTTTCAAACCTGGACAAGGAACGGGGAACAGTTCCTGTGATTTTGTTGTTAGACAAATCCAAGTCCAGTTTCAACCTGGGGCCCACTCTCTCAAGAAAGCTATCGGGCATGGAACCAGAAAGTTCATTGCCCGAGATATCAATCGTGTTGAGGATATGCATGCCTTCAAAGGATGGAACAGCTCCGCGGAACTTGTTGTGGCCGAGACGAAGCGTTCTGAGGAATGCAAGGTCAGTCATATCCGGAATGGGGCCGGTCAACACGTTGTTGTTCATCGAAAGCGTCCTGATGTTCTTCAATTGAAGCAACTCTGCTGGGAACGGCCCTCCGATTGCGTTGAAACCGACGTGAAGAGATGTCAGGTACACAGCAGCCCCAACTCCATCCAGCGATGTCATGGAGGTTTCGTCTACTCGAAGATCCATCAAGTTCGTGGCACGACCAATGTGTTCGAAACTGAATCTGATGGGGTTCGAATTGAGCCACAAGATTTCCAGCCTGGGCAAATCGAACAGCTCGTGAGGCGGGCTCCCCTTAAGATTGTTTGCCCCTAGATTGATCAGGATAACATGGCCATCCTTGCAACCAATTCCATGCCATTCACAAACATCCGTGTTGGAGTTCCAGTTTTTCGCAATCTTCCACTCGGCGCCATTGCAGGATTCGTATAGCTTGACGAGTATCTCCCTTTCAGTTAGGACTGGCTCACAACTCCTGCTTCCATAGAACGGAGCGGCTTTTTGAGAAGAACACGCCTTGCACTCATCAGGAGAGCTCAGCGCGCGGCCATTTGGATTTGCGGTTCCAGGCCCGCACATGATTGCGTCGCACGACTTGAGTCTTCCAACATTTCCACCCATCCAATCGGTGTTATCGCAGAATGCCTGCGGCAATGTAGTTATCTGATTCCCCTCCAGTCGAATGTCAAGTTCACCGAGATTGTCAAGAGCTTCAGGCACCCCACCTGAGATTGAGTTGTTCTTCAGGTCAACAAGATAAACAGAACTGGAAGAACTCAAGAAGGTGGAAGGGATTTCACCCGAAAAGTCGTTACCGTCAAGGAAGAGAACTGTAAGGCTCGGGCAATTGTTGAATGGAGGGATTTTGCCTGATAGACGTGGGCCTGCCTTTCTCTCCCTGCGAACCGAGAAGATCTGCAGCTGGGGCATGTTTGAAAGCTCCGTGGGAAGATCGCCATAGAAAAGATTCTCGTTCAGTGCTGCAAGAACGAAGGTTACACTGTGAGTCGAAGCAGTCTGGAAAAAGGTTAATCAATGACTACCGTGCAAACTCACCAACACTCTGCAGTTTCGTGAGAAGTGCAAGTTCCGAAGGAATCGTCGCATAGAACTCGTTATCCGCAGCATGAAACTCCATCAACTTCGTCATTTTAGTGATCTCGGTTGGCAGCGACCCATAAAAGTAGTTTGCAGACAAACGAAATTTCTCCAGAGAGTTGTGGAGGTCAAAGATTTCATGCGGGAATGCACCTGAGCAGAAAAGTGTGCAGAATAAGCGTTAACTATAAACCAGTGCAGCGAGGGTGCCAGAGGAATCGACTTACCTGTTAGCCCGTTTTCATCCACGAAAAGATCTTTCAAGCTTGTAGCTTGCTCAATTCCTTCGAGCGAGTCCATTTTAGTGTTGGAAACTTGCAGCACTTGTAGTGTCGACGCCGCATTTGACAGTCCATCAAATGTTATGGACAGATCCTCATTTCCGGACAGCAAAATCGAACGAATGGAAGGCAAGGACCAGAGAGCCGTTGGAAGACTTCCTGCCAGGTTCTTCTTTTCTAACTTTATCGCTGTGACACCGGTGTCGTCTTCAGGGCTTCCATCGCCGCATTCAATACCCTCCCAACTGCAAACGGGAGCATCTGTACTCCACTTATCGCTTGAAGTCCAATGCTTTCCTCCTGTGGCCGAATACAATAGGTTCAAAGCACCTCGTTCGCCTTCAAAACTCCTGCATTGCGTCTGCCCCAGATAGGGACTTTTGCTCAAGTCCTTGCAACTTGTACATGGCGACTCTGCGGACTTTTGCCGACCGTGTTCGTTGTAGTATCCTTGAGGGCACACAATTGCGTCGCAGCTTCCAATGATCCCGACCTCGCCCTTCATCCATCCATTCTTGTGACACAAGTCGTTGCTGATTCCTTCGATTTGGTTCCCGGTCAAATCGATGTCCAGGGAGTCGAACCTCTTAAGCGACGAGGGGATCGTGCCTGAGATCTTATTGTTCTTCATAATGAGTGTAACTGATGCGTTAACGTGGACACTATTCGCCATGAAATTCCCCGGGATGGTGCCTGCCGCAAAACCGGATGATCAATTCATCAGAATACAATGCCACCAGTTTCTACATCAAGCAAAGAAGGGAAAGTGACTTACCAGTCAGATCACAGTTGGATACATCGAAGAACCATACATTTGGAGAGTTTTCAAAGGTCGGCAGCTGTCCATTGATTCGAGTGTCGCCTTGTTGGTCATAGAGCGACAGTTGTTCCAGGTGACTCAACGAGCTCAACTCAGTTGGAATAGTCCCAGTGAGGTAATTCCTAGCCAAAACCAGCTCTCGTAGATTGCCAAGCAAGCCCAGCTCTGTTGGAACACTCTTTTCAAGCTTGTTTCCGTAGAGGTATACCTCTTGCAGGTCAGTCAATGAGGAAAACAATCGAGGAATCGTTCCTTCGATCGAGTTAAACGACAAGTAAAGACTTCTCAGATTTGTCAAGTCAAACATCTCAGCTGGAAGCGTCCCATTCAACAGGTTGTCGGTCGCATGGAGACGTCGGAGCTTGGTAGCACGACTTAAACCTGCCAACGACGTGAGGCCAGTACCGCTAACACGCATAGACTGCAGTGATGACGAAAACTGAATCTGTGTGAAGTCCAAATAGACAGAGTTGCCTTTCAAATCGATAACCTGCAAGAAAAAACAGAGCAAGGTGTCAATGGGGTAAGAGCTTGCATTCCATGCCATGGAGCAAGGTTGCGTGTCGAGCTTACCTGGAGATTTGGTAGCTCAAAGATCTTCGCTATGGATTTGATATCTTCCTTCGTAGAGACAATCTGGTTGCTTGCGAGCTTGATCTCGACAACAGAGAGCGCATCGTTACAAGTAATGCCAAACCAAGTGCAAACGCCACTTTCAGTGCCCCAGTTGAAGTTGCTGGTCCATTTGGCCCCATTCAGGTCATTGTAAAAGCCTGTCAAGATATCACGTTCAGTGTCTTGTGCGGCGTTGCTGCAACTCAAGGATCCGTAGTACGTGGCCGATTCCCCCGAGGCACAAGGAGCGCAATTGGCCGTGGTGTTGGCTCTTCCTGTAGACGAGTAAGTCCCAGGGGGGCATAGAATCGCGTCACAGGTACCGATTGTTGCGAGGTCTCCTGACATCCACCCTCCGATGTTGCACAATGCTTCGGGAAGGGCGTTGATCTTGTTCCCTGCTGCGTAAAGGTCGAGTTTCTCAAAGATGCTGAATTGAGATGGCACACCTCCTGACAACTCGTTGTTAGAAACATCCAGGACAATCTCCTTGGTCTTGTCCACCGACGACAGCATGCTAGAGGGGATAGTACCCGCAAAGGCGTTTTTGGATACGTTCAAATACTGCAACAGTGAATTTGAAGGGAATGCATACAAAGGCCCGCTTAGCTTGTCAGAGCCGCCCTGACTGGAGAGGTCCACTTGAACAATCTGGGTCAACTGCGCAAACTCTGCTGGAATAGGACCGGACAACCTGTTGCTTCTCAAATCTAGATCTTGTAGATTGGTCAACAACCCGATTTCAGAGGGGATGTGACCGGTGAAGAGATTATCCCACAAATGAAGCTCCTTTAGTGTTGTCATTGCTCCAATGCCTGCTGGGAGCGGACCGGTAAACATATTCTCGTTGACTGTCGAGGAAGAGATTGTAAGCAAAGGGATATAAACTAGACTCGCAAAACAAAGCCGATGCAACTTACAGAAGAGCTTGCGAAGTCCCTGCAGGCCCAGAATACTATCAGGCAGGCTACCGCCAAGTTGGTTTCGGGCTACGTGGATAGACTTGAGAGTAGGCGATGCCCTCTGCAGACCTTGGAGGCTTTTGATCTTTGTGTTTGACATGAGCAAAGTTTCAAGCGCGAGGCTTTGTTCAATGCCATCAAATAGAAGATCCACGTTGTTGTCTGTAAAACCCAAAACTCGGTTCTTCTGAAGCTGGAAAATCTCTGTCGGGATTTGTCCGCTCATGCCAAATCTGTTTAGCCTCAAAGCATCTACATTGCCATCATCGTCGCAAGAAACACCTTGTCGATTGCAAACATTCGAACCAGCAGTCCAGCCATCATGAGGGGCTGTCCAGTCCTTCCCGTTGGTAGCAGCAAACAGCATATCTAGAATGGCAGCTTCCGTTTTCGGTGTTCCAGAATGTGTAGAATTGACAGAACCTTCTCCTGTTGTGGTTGTGGGTGCAATAGTGTCACCGCAGTGCGTGGCCCCATAGACGTCGTTGTCGCTGCACGCTTCACATAGGGACCCGTTCGTTTCCTTTCCGTTGGTGTTCCATGTTCCTGGCGGGCAGAGAATTGCGTTGCAACCAAATGTGGCGCTACCCACATAGCCTTCCATCCACAAAGTATTGTCGCAGAACACAGATGGGAGGTCTGTGATGCCGTTTCCCTCGAGTTCCAAGACCATGTTGGAGAACACATCTAGTTGGTGAGGAACTACTCCTGTCAAACGGTTGAAGCCGAGACCGACCTTCATGCTCTTCGACTTGTCACCAACACCGCTCAAGAATAAATCTGGCATGCTCCCTTCAAAGTTGTTGTATGCAAAACCCAAAACTTCAAGAGATGTAAGACCGGCCAGAGTTGGAAGAGGTCCTCCTAGTCCACCTCTTTCAGACCTGCCCAGCTCCAGCTCTCTTAGTTTTGGCAGAAGGATCATTTCTGTAGGAAAATTGCCTTCAAAATTGTTGTACGAAAGATCCAGTTCTTCTAGGTTGGTCAACAGCCCAAACTCAGAAGGAAGTTGCCCGGTCAAATCATTCCATCGTAATTCGATTCTGGTTTCGGTGCAAAGAATTGATGTCAATGTAAGTTCACCTATCACTATCCCATCATCTGCCTATCCCAGCTGCATTTTTGAAACTCACCTCACCAAGGACTGTAGGCTGCCAATGCGCGTTGGGATTGGTCCGCGCAAATTGCTGTTCGGGAATTCCAAAGTTTGCAGGTTGGTGAGCGAAAACAAAGCATTGGGCAGGGTTGCTTCAAATTTGACACCATCCAAGTACAAGTGTTGCAGGGAGACTGCACCCTCCAAGCCTGCCAATGAATTGACCTCCGTGTGCGACAAAGCGAGCTTGGTCAGAACACCCGTAGTGACAATCGCAGCGAACCCTTCCTGATCAACACTAACGCGATTCGATGATACATCAAATTCAGTCATCGCTGCAAGTGAAAATACAGCGGCGGGCACGGCCCCAAAAAGTCTATTGTCCGAGAGATCGATTTTCTGGACATCCCCAGATTGTGTACATGTGACTCCAAAAAAGCTGCAGATATCGAGGTCGGAAGATTTCAAATCAGACAAGCGACTGTTCAACAAGAAGGCATCAATGGAGGACCAACCAGCCTTGTTGGTCCAAGAGCTTCCTCCCAGTGCAAGATAGAATTGTGCTAGGATCATCCATGGTTGGTCGTCCGCAGATGCACTTCCCCCACATGTTGTTTGTCCCAGGTAAAGCGATGACTCTCCGGCGGTTGCACATGGCTCGCAATCCGCAGTTAGAGTATGTTTGCCATCTTCGTTGAAGGTTCCGGCAGGACATAGAATGGCATCACAAGCAAACTGTTCTACTAATCCTGTCATCCATTGCTTCTTTTCGCACAGCTCTTGTGGAATAGGTCCAACCAACAGATTTCCTGTCAATCCTAGATCCATCGAGTCGATCCAACCTAGCTGCTTCGGGAGTGTACCGGTTAACTCGTTTCCATCCAAGCGAACAATCACGAGATCATCCGTTCGTTGGTTGCCCAAGAAGAAGTCGCGAGGAATTGTTCCATTTAGTTTGTTGAGTGAAAAGTCTAGTAGTTCCAAGTATGGAAGCTGTGAGAAGGATGGCAAAGGACCTGATAACTTTCCTTGCCCTGCCTCTGTTGAACGACCAATGCTCAGAATCTCCAGGTCCAACATATTGTTGAGTTCAGTAGGGATGGTCCCAGTGAAATCGTTATCGCGAAGAACCATCGTAACTAGCTTGGTCAAGAGCCCAAATTCGGAAGGGATCTTGCCTGTGAATGGAACACCGATTGCATGAAAGTCAATCAACCTGTCCATGTTTCCAATGGTGGAAGGGATTGCCCCAGTAATGGCATTTTGATCGAGAAAAAGACGTCTCAAGCTTGTCACTTGAAACAACTCTGTTGGGAAATCCCCCTGCAAACTGTTTCCTGCCAACCTCAAATCACGCAGTGAAGTTGGTGCTCCTCCGACTCCTGCAATATCACGCAAGTTGCAGTTATTTAAGGCCAATGTTTCCAAGGGACTAACGCTGATCCCTGTCCCCTGTTTGGCTTCTTGAAAGCCTCCAAACCCAGCATTGGTGATTGGATTTCCTTCTAAATCAAGGAATCGCAGCAGAGGCATCGAATAGAGGCTGGATGGGATGGCGCCTGCAATGTTATTCTCGGGCAGTTGGATAGTATCCACTTCGCTGTCTCCTGTCTGGGACCCATCTAGACAAGATACCCCATGCCAGGAACATATGGGTTGATCAGATCCCCAATTGTCCTTCTTCAGCCATTGCGCTCCACTCGTTGCTTCAAAGAACTCGACAAGAATTCGTCTTTCGTCGAGAGCGGCTGATGGCATCACAACCGCCAAGAATACCGCCAACAAAATGGGTTGCCTCGGCCTACCGGAAACTGGTGTGGCAGAAACCATCTTTAAAAACAAATCGGTCACCAGGAGGGTATACCTATAGAGTAACTCTATTATCGAGAATTCTTTGCGGATTGTTGTCAATTTCAAAAGGCTACCACCGCACTTATTCCAGCTTTCTTTTGTTACTTCGGTCGGAGTGAGGATAGGAGGCGTTCGATGTGAGTACGCTGCATTGGATGAGAGTTGGTGTGTCCCAGCGCAAGCCCATTATTAAAGATTTTCATCACCGTAGATAAAGAAACTAAGTAGGGCAAAAATTGAAAGTAGAGACGTTAGATTTACAAGCTGGTTGAGCCAGTAGAGCATCACCTCTACCTAGCCAGGTTGAATCAATCTCGTCTCCCAAATTCACTCAGCCCGTTGCACGGGGGCGATACCGGTACTAGCTAGTAGTTTTATCCTTTACTTGCGCCTAAAAACTACCCGGTACCAATACACTGTACCGGTACCGTAGCTAGCTAGTCAGGCTAGAGTCATAAGGATTGCCCTCGTGTCGTAGCTAGCTAGTAGGTCCAGCTCAGGAACAGGAACAGATGCGGGGTGTTTGGGATTTGGGATGACTTCGTTTGTCACCTGCCGGTGTAAGTGAGCCTGTTGAGAACCCAGGGGAAATCGAGGAGTGGTGTGTCTCATAATGCAACATGTACATGTACTTGGACCAACTAAATGATTGCCAGCAGATGCTTCAGTTCTGTTTGCAGTATTTTTGCTGGATGATATTAATTTATTCTTGCAACCTGCAGCTTTTTCTTTGCTCAATACATTCATAACCAGTCCTCTGGGATTGGACCTGCAAAGTTCTATTGGAGTAAGTAAGTTGAGACTGGTAGCAGTCAATGGGTTTGAAACAAGATTTTTCACCAGCCCAAAGAGTTTTCCACCCACACATACAGCCATCAAAAACCACAATTTTGGCTATTACTACATGTACCAGTCCTCCCACACTGGTACTTGATTGATGACAACACTATGATACAAAACTATACTATTACTGCATTGGCTGCTATGGTGTAGAAGAGGTTTGTGATGTGTTCCCTTGCTGCACATTGCCACCTTCAGTATTAACAATAGTGTTGACTGCAATCCCTTGCGAACCATGAATTTCAAAAGGCGATCCACCTTGGGGGGATTGTTGTTGCATGTTTGCAGAATTCGTGTTGTTGCTGGGCGCAGGTTCAAATGGTGATGCATCAAATAGCGATAAACCCCCTTCCCGTTCACTCTGTTGCTGTTGCAACAACATGGTATCTCTTCGTCCGGCCGCTTCCACGGCAGCCAGTTCGAGACTGGCCATGAATTCGAGCCGTGACGCCTCGAGTGCTCTCATAAAGTGTGGTACGACAATATCATCTTCCTCGCCGCCATCAATTCGGTTGGTGGCAAATGAAACGGGGGCAAACAAGCTCATGGGTTCAATTTCGAGCTGTGAAATGGGCACTGGATCACAAAAGTCTCGTCTACAACAGGGACATTTGGGTTCGTCCGACTTTCCGAGCCATGGAATGATGCATCCGGAGTGAAAGACGTGTTGGCAGGCTTCCCGTGGAGACCATGTTACTTGTTCTCCTGGTTCGTAGGGACACAAGCAAATGGCGCAGGCGCCTGGTACAGTTCGATGGGTTGTCGTAGGGTCTTCTCCTCCCTCTTGTTGCGCATTAGTGGTCGTATTGCTGGCTGTGATTGGAATCTGCAAGGCATGTGGATTGTCCGGATCGCCCGTTTCAATGTCGTATTCAACTGCCAAACCACTGCAAATGGTGGCTGTAAGAGGAGGAGTGATATTGTTTCCATTGGAGCCCGTATCAGCATCAGGAGGAGGCGTATTGGAAGTGCCATTGGTCTCGATGGTGGTTGGCTGTGGCTGTGGTTCCTCGGTAACAATAACAGTGGATTGCAACTTGGTTTCACCATCTTCTCCTGAAATGTCTAGAATGTGTTCCTCTGCCACAGTCTAATAAAAAGGCGGGAATGAATGAGATATTGAACTACTCATAATGCTACCCAAGCAACTAAGCAAAAACTAAGCAAAAAGGTAAAACCTACCATGGTTGTCTCTTGCAGTTTTTCTGCGATTTTGGCCCTCCGCTGTTCGTTTATTCTCTCATTGTTGACTTGCGATTGTCGCAGACTGCTCAATATGAATAGATTCTGTCGTTCAATTCGACTCACCGAAGCCTGTTGCTGAGCAATCCTCGCCTCTACCAGTCTCCGCCTTCGGTAGGCGCAGCAGGTCGGTATCACACAGCACAGAACCAAGAATAGGTACCATAGCAGAAAGGCCACAAACTCATAGGCATCACGTCCATGGCCGCCGCTGTTGGGGCTGTCAAAGGAGCCAAACCGTTCAAACGACGAGTCCCCGTTAAACCCACTTCCTACGATACCGGTAGAGTTGTACGAGAAGCTACTCCCATCCATCTTTTGTAGCTGGCGGGCGAGTAGATCCATAGTGGCGCTTTGCTGGTTGTCGTGTCGTTGTCGTCGTCGTTATAACAAGAGGTTGAACAGCTAGCTTGTAGGGCATGAGGTAATACCCCACAGGCCATAGATTTGGGTATACCTGTAGTAACAGCTGTTGTGTAATGAGAAAGGAATAAAGACGCCGGACTATGCGTGGCCGGAATAATAAACAACGGAAAGGAGTGTTTGGCTCATCGTTTACCTGTGCAACATTTCTCAACTAGACTAGTCTAGCTCATCAGCTCACATCCATTTTAAATATTTTTACCATTTTGTTTTGGGAAGCCTATTTTACTCTTATCTTAACTCTTTATGTCGTTGTCGAGCAAGCCCATCCACCCTTAATTACCCAAAACGTCTCATTCTCATTTTTCTGGAAGGTGTCAACACGAACCCCTTGGACTCTTTGAAAAATTGATGCGAAAGATCAAAGGAAAGACTGCATGGTGACGATCGATCTATTCCACACAGAGACCGTCTAGATAGCACTATAGCTACGCTATCCGTAGACTCTAGTCTTCTTGTCATTCAGGAAGCCATACGGTGGATGAAGACGTAACTCAATCCGTTGTTTGCTATCGAAAGGTACCATGATTTCGCCTCATGTTCCGGGCGTGGGATACACGTGGATCATTGTGGCCCATCAAAAGGCGGCCAAGATCTTTTCGTCACTAGTGACAGTCGGTGGACTCGTTACTCTCTACGTCCTTTTGTGCCTCTTCAATTCATGTCTACAACAACAACAACAACAAGATGACGATCCCTATATTCAACAAAGAAACGCCATTACCGAATATCTGCAGAACCACAACCAAACAGTTTCCGTAGAACAATTGGCATATTGTGCTTTTTTGTTGGTGGCAATACCCAACCACAGCAACAACAGCAGCAACAACCAGCTAGACGAAACCAGCCTGCGAGGAGCCGAACAAATCAATGCCATTTTCAACTTGATCGTCTCCTTTGGCTTGGGCATGCTTCTGTTGATGTTCATTTCGGCCATGACGTTGATGTGCTACCCTCGAAGCAGACATGACTATGGAATGGAAAGATGGGAGGAAAGAAGAGCCTCCAAACGATATCGGCTCCTCAAGATTGGACTCTTGCTGCGGAAATTTCATGTGGTGAGTTATCTGTCTTATCGCATCTGACTGACGTACGCCGTACTACGGTATACACGATCGCCAGCAATTGAGCTTTAGCATGTTCTGACTTGATTATATATGGTATGGCGACGTGCGTGCAGAGACTGAAAGTGGAGGATGCTTGCGAGAAGGATCCAAGTCAATCTAAGCAAGGACAAGGGGAAGTAGAAGGAGAAGGGATGTCTTCGGAATCGTCATCATGGATGATCCCGTTGCCGGGTACACCAAATGAAGATTCCAACGTACCGGTAGTACAGAACAGAAGGATAGTTTCCAATGGCTGTGCCATTTGTTTGGATCCGTATGTGGTCGGGGACAAGGTGGCCTACTCATCCAACACAACGTGTGTTCATGCCTTTCATCAAGCTTGTATCCAAAAATGGTTGATTTCCCTGGCATCATCACATCCCCCATGCCCATGCTGTCGACATCCATTCTTTTCCATGAAGGATCATCCCAACAAAGCTTGAAACCACACGACAAAATCACGACAACAACAAGTTGCTTTCAACTTGATAGCTAGCTACTTGATGGTAGCATGTACGGTACAGTAGCAGTAGACAACTTTTTGAAGATTAGTTCAATTGACAACATGCCTGTACCGAGTTGTGCAGTACAGTGCCACTGCCGCCTGCTGCCAACAAGTCCATTGAGAGGTTCTGCGTAAGGTGCATGCTTGATTGAATCTTCTCAAGCACCTTCCCATTGGGGGGCTGCTGGCTAGTAGGTCTTTGCCATGTCGGAGCAGCTACGCAGAACACTACATGCTGCATGTAGTTGCTACACTTTGAAACAAAGGACACATAAACCAGAGGACACGGATCCAATCCTCTTTTTCAACTGGCCTTTGATTAGATAAGATACTGCACATTTGAAACACTTAGACTGCCACTGCCGATGTTTCCCCGTTATCAACAATCTGCATCTCAGATTCCTCGTTGTCATCCATATCGTCATCATCTTCCTGTGAGTTACCGGTTGGAAGTTCGATAAGGACACCTCCCGGTCCAATCGTTGGGGCGTGCTCCATCTCATAGAAGTCTGGTTCATTGTCGGGATCGCCAGGCCTCCGACAGCCCTTGCCGTTCACACGAGTCCGAACCATGGACACGCAGAGATCCGGGCGTCCTCTCTGAAACTTGTCATGGTGGCTTTGGTAAGGGAAAGAGCATTTTTAGGCTACGAAGGAAGAACAAGCATTTTGCATTCATCCTTATCTTGGCAGACTTACTATGCACCCTTGTCTCGCCCAAATGTGATGCGCTGAAAGTTGTACATGTGAAGTTGCCTTTGGAAGCTGCTGTACTTGCTTTGGTTGAATACTTTCCCATTCATTATTTCACTCACAAAACGGTCTACATCGTGTACCAAGAATGACCTATAATGAATGCCAAGAGGGCAAAGGAGGGTGAGATGCCATTTGAGGAACATATCTGCAAAACAGGAGGAAAGACTTCGCACCGTCCATGAGGTTGCCAGGAAATTATATCTTTCAGGTTCGTCCCTTCTGATTCAATTTTGTCAAGCAGACGATGTAACTTGAATGGGAAACTGTTGTTGTGCCCAGGTCCGTCAGTGCGGCTCACACTGGATGTTCTCCTGACAGATCCATTGTTGCCGCCATTGCTGTCCTGCTTGGCAGGTTGGTTCGTGTCAGCAGATCCTTCGTCTAGTGCTGGCAATGGTGCCGAACCAAGTTGCTCAGCAGACTCGTCGCCATCGTCGTCGCTCCCATAGTCAACGCTTTTGGGTGGACAGGGTGGGTAGTTATTGAGCTGGGGTTCTTCTTCGGGATTCCCCGCGGCTCGAATTCCATTTCCGTTAACCTTCTGCCTTGTCATGCGACGACACAAGAACTTGAGCCCCTTCAGGAATTTTTCATGGTAGTAACTGATTACGCATGATATGGATGGCCATGATCCTGTTAGAGATATACAAGAAAGCAATCTCAAGCAGTCCTTTCCTCTCACCTTCCACTGTCTGGTCCCACTGAGATACGATTAAAGTTATAAAGATTCAGTTGCCGTAAGAAAGAGCTTTTCTTTGTCATTACAAAGTATCGCGGAAGAACTACATCCACAAACTCTTGTTGCTGATGAATCTTGAACTATGGTAAAATGAGAGCGAACAAATCGCCGCTTGAGTGCATGGCATGTACAAGACTTTCCTGCAAGTGAGACCTGAGCACTTACACTTCTCCCATGAGGCATCCAACCAAGAATATGACCCAATCCATCTAGTTCAATCTGCGCCAGTGTTTCATGCAGCTTGAGGGGGAAAGCAGCATTGGGCGTGCGGCTGTCCGAGTGCACGAGGAACATCTCTTCGGGGAGTGGTTTTTCTCTGGCGTAGTCTTTGTACTCATGTCGCACAAAGAGCCTTTTATTGTTCTTGGGCGTCATTCCTGGTGAAAGTTTCTTGTAGTTGTAGGTGCTGTTGTCCTCTCCATTCTGAGTGTCACTTGACGCTGCCGTCTTGGTATTGCTGGTGGGGGGAGCAGGTGCAATGTTTACAAGACCGTACTGTCTCTCCCTCAATTCGCCACTGATCTGAGCCAAGACTTCCATGGAGTTGGATCTATGCACATATCCTTGGCCTTGTGACGGGCCCTGTCCGGGATGAGTTGTCGTAGTTGACGCCCTATGTGGAGGAGCGGCTGCAGGTGGATGCTGATAGGCAGCCGGTAGTGGCTGTGAGACCGATCGATGATGCTGTGGAGGATGTGGTGGCAGTGGGGGTGAATGCAACTGACTCCATGGACTGTTTGTTGGGGCTGCTGTCGCCGGTGCTACAGCGTGGGTTGGTTCAGGGGGCCTGCCGTTGGTTGTCTGAACAGGAGCAGCTCTGGCAGTTGACTGCTGCAATACTGGTTCTGCAGTTTGCTGGCTGCTGGTAGTAGGATTGGATTTCCCCTGCTGTAAGGTCACAGAAGCAACGGCAGTACAAATGTGTGGATTGGGGATTGGAGTCGCAGTTGATTCTGCCAAGGGCGCTCCATCAGCTTCCTTGTGATCAATCAAAAGGCCGCCCACAACAATCTCTACTCCCACCAGGGGCACAGATTGTGGCAAGAAAAGGGACAGGCGAGATGTATCCACGTGCATTGGCTCTCCAGTTGGTTTAGCTGGGACACCTAACTTGACATGGATGGTTAACTGAGACCTCACAGCATCCGATGGTGGAACACGAACAGCAGATCTTGCCATGGAATCTTGCACGGCACGAACAGCAGCCTCAGTGGCGTCTACAGAGCAAGTTTGAGACACACCGAATCCTATACTGTAAGAGAAGGAAAAGATAAACTGTGAGATGGGGTGTCATCAACCGCAAAAAAATTCCACGCTCGACAGTCGACAAAAACCAACTTACCTTGACATGGACATGAGAAAAGCCGTTGGCTTTTCGACGGCGACTTGTTGGGGTTGTACCTGAGGCTGTGGCCTTGGTTGAAATTGAGCTTCGGCATAAGGTTGTCGGCTTGCCATATGGCTAACAGAGGCAGGGGTAGCCGATGCATGAATGGTAGTGTGATGCGCGGGAGCGGGTGCTGCATGAGTGACTATCGCTGGTGCAGGTGTTGCCACTGGTGCTGCTGATGCTGGTACGTGTGGCGCATGATGGGAAGGATGCGGGTAATGTGGCGGTGGGTAGTGAGAGTAATGAGGCGGGAGGTGGTAGTAAGGGTAGGCGGGTCTTGCAGCCGAAGCTACAGCAGGCTGACGTTGAGGGTGAGTAGGGGCCGTAGCAGCTGCAACAACAGCATGGTATTTGGGATCAATGGCGGGGGCAGTCGCAGGAGGCTGAGCCGCGCCATTGTCCATCGGTGGGGCGGCTGCTGCATGTTCCTGGTCCCAAGACCTCCGACTTGCTGTGTTGCTAGGGAGACTCACAGTCGAAGCCGTCTGGGCGAACCCTGCCAGAGCAACTGCGGCTTCGGCATCGGGTGTTGATTGACCTCCCTCCGACGTCATTCCTCAGTTTTAAACTTGGAATCAGAAAAAAGATCCCAAGTGACAACAAAAACTAATGAGGTTCGTTTGGTTGCTTCGTTCCTTGGCTTTCAGAAGGAGAGGTTCTGTTCTTGTTTTTTTGTGCCCTGGTTGGATGGCTGATGGCGGGGCTTTGGCTTTGGAAGAAGCGTCTTCGCTCTACGAGCGGTGCTGGTAGCCAGCCAAAAACGAACGCAGAGCGGAATGCGATCCCTCGACGAGAAGAGAGGACATTGGAAGAAGGCGTTGGGTGCCGCCACCGCGCAAACTTTACAGCCAGCAGAGCAGCGTGGCTGTTGAAACACCAGTACTAATAGCCTGTCTCCAACCCACTGCCTTTACCGCACCGGTACCGGTACGTGAGATTTAGGGGGGGTTAGGCAGCAGCGCGGGGGAGGGAAAAAGAAAAAAGAAAGGGAGAGAGTTATCCGTTGGATTCCCAATTCCGAATTTGAGAGCAGGCAGGGCATGTTTGAGACATCCGAAAGACCTTTTTACTTAGCGGGTAAGGGGATATGGCAGTGACTGCAACGGTCTCCATTGTAAAGCTGACATTTCCCCCATGGGTAAGACGTCCGAAGAACAAGAATATGTCAGCAAATGCGTCACTAACGGATGATGGCACATTCAAATCGCAGTCGGTTGACAGATGTTGTCAGTTACACTGGGTGGCTTGTTTGTTCTTTTTCCCCGATCCTTGGCTCGCACCAGACGTTCCCACAAATTCAAATGGCTGATACCGGTGTTGAATCCAATCGCTGGTGAGTGTTGTTGTTGTTGTTGTTGCTGTTGTTGCTACTGCTGCTTGGGATAATGATTGCTAATACTATTATCTTGTCTCTCTACCACTACAATGGTAGAACCGACCTTCGAACAACAACAACCACTACTCCCTTGTGCTCACGTTGGTTGACGCATTACACGAGAGCGATCGACACCAGAGGGACCAACCAATTCAGATCGAAACAACAAGGCGACAACTCGACAATGAGGATTGCAACTACACCGGTCTTCTCACAGTGGTTGCTGAGTGCTGCTCATGCATACCCATTCAATGAGCTAAGGGCAACAAGGCATGGATTCACCTGCAAGTATGTCATTTGTGATATCAACAGCAATGAGAAGTACAGCTGCGTGCCCACAAATGCTTTCGACCATGTTTCCATTGTTGAGGATATTATCTCTGAAGGAGAATGCAAGCCTCTTCCTCCTGACATGACAAACATCATGGATTACATGTTCTATTGGGACCTTCAGAAAAGTCCAAAATGGTACCATAAAGTTCTCTCCACCCTTTCTGAAATGCTGGTGGGGCCAGAACCATGTGAAAGGAAGGACATCTTCATTGAGTGCATCTATTGGTTAGTGAGGGAAAGGATCAGTGAGAGCTATGAGTTGTCGTCCAATGAAGGACAGATTGTGATGGATGCTTGGCATGGGTATTGTTCTCACTGGTATGACTACAACAACCAAATCTCTTTCAAGATATTGACTTTGATGAGTGAGACTTTTGTTGATGATTGCATGGAAGACATGCTGAACCTTGGATTCTTGCAACCACACCATGCTGTCCATTGTGGAACCTTACTGTAAGTTAATGGCTACAGTAGAAATGAATTTGATGCATCTAAATCTTATATGTTTTTGCTATCCAGCATACCCAGTCAATCGAAATTGGCAATAGGCATCATGGGGTGGTCTTCCTCTCCTGTTAGTCAACCACTGGCAATATCTTTGACAGCAGCCATTTGGTGGTGGTGGCTGGAAAGGAGATGGCAGTATTGGTTGGAATTGCCGCATTTGCATGGTGAGTTGCATCATTTGAATCTGTTGTTGTTGAAATTGAAGCATGTTACTCATGTAATTGTTTGTTGTTTGTGCCACAGCTGCTTGGGTTGGTGGTGGAGGTGGCTGTGGTGGACCGATTGCTGGTGGTTCTGTTCGAGGTGGTGGACCGATTGCTGGTGGAGGTGGTGGATCGATTGCTGGTGGAGGTGGTGGATCGATTGCTGGTGGACTTGGTGGCTGGATTGCTGGTGGACTCGGTGGTGCTCCTGTTGGTTGCTAGTAACACTCTAGCTTAGTAAAGGTAAAATACTGTTTTACTGTTAAGCTATTTCCAAGAAGTGATCTTTCTCCATGTTTTCTGGGATTGATTCAACTTCAAAGGATATAGTGAAGGGGGTGACCATATAGATCAGTTAAACTCCCCATGTATGTAACTAGAGAATTGATATAGATATCCCCTCTAAACTAGATTGGGATAAACGAATAATTTGTATTGAGGTGTCTGTAATACAACCTCCAACACACTCCTGCACGGTTCCATAAAGGATACCGTGGAACGAATAATTAATGTAATGATGGTTGCTCCATAAGGAACAGTTGTTGGTCGAGAGACCATTTGCTAGGTTGCTCGGCATTCCCGCTTGGTGGCGAGAAGCTTGTCATCCATAGCAGTGCTGACAAATCTGTCACAGTCAATGTGGACATGTGGACAGTGTCGTCATGAAAACCACTGTGGCTACCACTCCTGTGAGTGTCGCCACTCCTGTATACTTGCTTGTGGCGGTTGGTGCCGTCACTTGATGTTGCTGTATCGAAACTGGGAAGTTCCGATCCCAGCTTGTTGAACCGTGGGCTGGGAAGTTACGGTCACTTGGTATTGCTGTAGCTGGAAACTAGGAAGTTCGGCTGCATTCTCGTAGACTCAAACTGTGCTCTTGACTGGCGGGTAGACTGAACTGGACATGATATGCCATGGTCTCAATCGCCAATGATGTGTGGAAACATCAATCCATTCAGACTTATACTGATTTGGAAATCAGGTGAGCATGAGTCTGTGCAATAGCTTGTAGCTATCTGGAGTCAGCTTTTGTCCATTGAATGGAACTGAGCTGTCTCTTCTTGTTGGAGTCCAAGAAGTGTTGGATGTCCTGTGTTGTCTTTTCCAGAGGAATGGAATCCTTTTCTTCCCAGCTGGGGAAGCTTCTTCCTTCATCACGGCCTCCTCTTCTTTGGATTCAGAATGGCTGTGACTTGTTGTACATGAATGTGTGCTTGCTTGATGTGGACCTTGGTTTTGCACCTCTTGTAGATGGGTGCTGGCAACTTGTGGCGTTCCGTCGAACTGTTCTTGCTTTGAGCTGGTTCCATGGTGGAACTTTCCTGTGGAACTGTGGGAATCCTCTGCAGAAGATATCCCGGTAGCACTGTTGTGTGGCTACCCTTGCTGAGTAAGCTTGCTCTGCCTTGATAGGCTTCTGTGGTCGCACTTGCAATCTCATGATGGATCTTCTGAGTCATCCCGAGAGTCAAACTCAATCGATCTGTGGTCGCTGCTTGTGATTCGATCGCTTCGTGTCATTCGATCTGCATGATCGTTTCTTGTCAGTCGATCTGGTGTGTCAATCTGGCTAGATCGAACGGCGGAATTCAAAGGAAGGTCTGAAAAAAGGTTTCGAGACTGTGGTTTCGGTGCGGATACAACTATTATCAATACCATCCTGCACTGTCGCTGTGGCCACCACTCCTGTGAGCTAGCTGTGGCAGGACTTGTACTTGTTGTATCCAAAGCTGGCATGGATTGGTTTGGACATTGGATGCAACATTGGCATTCGCTGTAGCTGAGGTGGTCCGTCTACGGATTCCTGAGAATCGATAGAGCACATCAAAGTGTCTATCTGTGCTTGGATAAGCAGGCTCCTACCTTGAGAAAGGCTTGCAATCCATCTCGACTGTCGTTGTGTCACTGTGCTTGCAATGAGTCCAAAAAAACCTTGGAAGTTGTTTGCTCGGCATCCCGGCTTTGGTGAACGAGAAGCTGAGCGAGGAGACGAGACAATACGGACATTGTCATCATCAGAAAAGTCTTTGTGGCTGCACTCATGCTGAGAGTGGTGCCCCCCTGGAAGACTGTGTCGGATGATACGTCACTTGGGTACCTGCGGCTCGTACATGGGAAGTACGGCTGCGATTGACACTTGATTGGGCTTTAAGCCCTTCGTAGATGGATGCTGGTTGAAGCTTCTGGTAGTCGTAGACTTGTGGGAGTGAAGCCCTATTGGAAGATGGGCATGGAAGTGTGAAATAATGTAGCTGGAAGTCACAGGACTTGTTTGGTTCAGACTGAAACCAGTTCTTGGATGGCCTCGAAGTCTGAAGATGGAATGAGAAAATGGTTGAGGGTATGTTCCTCTTGTCATGGTTTTGTTTTACTACTTCATGTGAGACTCGTGACTGCTGGTGTCGTCGTTGTGGTTGACTGGTGCCCGTCAACTTGGTTAAAACCAAACTTCCAGGTACCGTCTTTGGGTGTTGCCGTAGCTGGACTGGGAAGTCAGGCTATAGCGACACTTTGGAGAACTGTTGTAGTAGCGGAACTAGGAGGAATGTTCCTTGCCACAATGATGTTTTGAGTTGGGGCTGGAAGCCCTTGGAAGGTTTGGATAATTGTAAGGAAGTATCGGAAGTAGTTGTGGATGCTCCAAGTGGCCCATACCTAGTGACTCACGCAAGGCTTCGCAAAAAACATGTGAAAGATCTCTTGCGACTGCCTACCCTCCTCCGGAGCCCTTCACATTCCCTCGGGCCTCATATTTTTCGTCCATGATGGTTCCCGAATGGTGATGTAGTCGGTAGATCCTTTTGGTTTGGTGATGCCACTGCTCTTACACTCGTGTGAGATGCGCTGTGGCATAGTTGCTTCGATAATGTATCTTCTGCTAGGTTGATTTGTTGTACTCATGTACTATCTTGTTGGTGTGAGACGAGGTGGTTGCAATTCTCTGTACAGTAGATTGCAGTGGAGCTGAGGTGCGCACCCTCTTGTTGTTTCTATTGCTCAGGTTCCACTTGTGGTGTCAAACTCTGAATGCTCCAACCATCCTGTGGCTTGGTTCTTTGTCTTGTGACTCCTGCTTGAGTGGCTTTGCTTGTAGCTAGCTACTCGGTTCAACGTTCACTGTCGTTCTGCTGTTGTTGGAGTAA